TGAGAATTTAGTTTTATTACTTGATTAATACTTTTAATCTTTAAACAAAATCCAATCGAACCCTTTCGGTAACTCCACTCTCAAAATATAAAAAGTCGGTGAGGGACGTAAGTGCAAACAAAAACCAATTATGCTATGATACCACTGTTGGGGATTATTAGCATCAAGTACACCATTTAAAGGTAGGGAAACAATCAAGAGATTTACCTAAGTGAACATGCATCTTAGAATCTAGGTTTTACTAGTTATAGCAATATACATTAAAAATCTACAAAAGAAAGAACTACTAACATCTTTATTGATTTATTTTGATCTCGTAACTACCAGCTCGTTGCTATGGATGAAGGATCTAAAATAGCACCCCTCTAATGAAGTCAGACCCACAACACCAAAAGCAAAAAGGATGAAACCCTAAACTAGGGTTTATAGGAAATTCTCTAACCCTTACGAGATAGGTTAAGAATTCTTATATTGAGAGAGAGAGAGAGGGAGAGAGAAAGAAAGAAAGAAAGAAAGAAAGAAAGAAAGAGAGTATGGATGATTTATGGGAAGAATGAAGTAGTTCTAGGGTTTACCCTTAGCAGTCTATTTATAGGTTGCAGATAAAACCAAAAAGGATTCAAACTCTATGATTAATCCTTATTTGATTCAAACTTGTCATATCCCTATCTATGGAGCCTCTAAAATCGTCCACCCCTATGTATCTAGGAGCTTCTGGAATATTCCAATTAATCTCTTAGATTAATTAATATTCAAGTCCTTTAATTAATTAAAGTCTTTTAATTATTTATCAGAATAATTTATAATTAATTTATTAATTTCTTAATAAATTAACAACTAATATATCGTAATTTCCTTATGCTATTTTGATTATGAGGCTAACCCAAAAGCACATTTCCATTATTAAAAATATTACCAAAATGGTTAACGACCTTGGACACTATTTCCAACACCTTGCAGCTCTAGTGAGCCTCCGATCATCTTCTCTAGCGAAACACGGATATTCCGACAAAGTTTTTTTTATATATATGCTCTTATTCTTGTTTTCCTTTGGTTAACGAAACTCACACCCGTGTACGAGCATAGCTGGAAAAATAGTGAAAAGTTTGTCAAAAATGATCCTATTTATGGAGGCTTTGCATATGCGATTGCTACCTTATATTGCAAATTCAAAACTCTAATGAACAATACAGAGAACTAATTAAATACCCAAACAAAGCGGAAAATAAATTTACCAAAGCCTTGTTCCACACGCAGACACTGTGCGTTCTTATTTCATTTTCTTTAATCTCAAAGGTGTTATAAGAATCTAGGAAGATCAAAGCATCAGATACGCCAAACTTGCATTCGTTCACCTGAATCAAAAAAAATGTTAATCAGGCTTCTTCCTAATTGTTTTGCAGTTCAACAAATTCCAGCTGTTAGAAGTTCAACAAATTCCAGCTTTTAGACAATAAAACATACCTTAGATTCGTTATTACACTCAAACGATGAAGGAATTGTTGGTTTATGGAGGATAGGTCTTCATCGCCAAAGGATGAATACAGAAGAGAAATTTTATGAAGGTGTCGTTCATGAAACTCGTACATGTGAACAACACAAGAGGAAAATACAACCCAATCTCCTTGCCAAAACAGGTCTGATTTTCGGAGGAGCACAACAAACAAAAAGAAGCCCAACAATATACAGAGTAATCACATGAATTTCGAAGTAGAAAATCTAAAACCTAAACAAAATCAAATACAATTACAACACAATCATGCAAAATAGAGTTTACGAAAACAATATAACAAACAAACCCTAAAGCAGAAAACAATTAAAAAAGACATGGCGAAAATACGTAAAAAGAGTTGTATTGTCAGCACCCACATGAAAGTGGAAGAAGAACACGTAGCAGCGAAGCCAAGAAGCCGATGAAAATCACCAGGCTCCAAACCAACCACTTGGTATTGAAGTCCGGCTCGATCTTTGCTATTGTTCATAAGTCAACGCTCCTTTTAATATGTATAATAATGGATCATCTCTTCGAAATTAATTTTGAACTTTTTTTTTTGTATCCATTAATTCTTAACAAATACGTTTACTTCAACTCCTAATCTTTATTTGTGATCCAAGCTAAAAAAAAATTATAATTTAATAAATATTTTAGAAAATTATTGTTTATATCAACAAAGTAAGTAATAAATAAAATTGTGACTGTGAACAACTATTTAAGAGTAAAAGCATAATTTGATATTGAAATATTATAACATTAAGTATTGCATTTCTGAAGCATTTCAAAGAATAAAAAAAAACATAATAACTATAACTTTATAAGGGCGTTGCAATTGAGTATTAATCAAGTTTGTAGTTGTTTTATTCAAGTCAGATGAATTATTTTATAGTTTGGGAATCCTAGTTTTGATTTGTTCTATCATTGTGAAATTATCTAATCTTAAACCAAGAACCCAAACATGAGTAGAAATTGAGATATTGTGTATTTCATCCCTATATTTAAACAGGTTGTGGCATTATGTTAAGTGAGCTGACTAGTCTTAAATAGCTGAACTATTATATCATGCACGAAATAAAAATTATATTATCTCATGCATGCAACATGTGACATCATATAAGGAGCCAAGGAGGAGGACCGGAGAAATCTGTAAATACAAGGAAGCCCAAATAATTTGAACAAACAATAGTACAATACTTTCACAAAATCAAGAACACTATTAATCTACCAAATGATATAGTCCCCACACACAACTACAAGATATCCTATGTCACATTCCATACATTTTATATTTTACTTCTCCAAATTCATTTTTGCTTTTAAAATATCAAAATTTATTTTGTTAAACACTAGTTGTTGATTGAGTCTAATTGAGTTAGACACTACGCATGAATCTGACCAAGTAAAAGATATATCATAGAAATCAGGACCAAATCAAAGTGGTATCAAATAATCTAAATCTAACAAAGACAGACAAACCCAGTAAAGGGCATACCAAAAAGCCCTTAAATGTGTGTTTAGTTTGTGGATTTTTAAAGAATTTGAAAGAAGTGGAAGGTAGGTTACGTTAAAAATTGCGTTTATTCAACAAAATCAAAGTAAGTTGAATCCTTTAAAAAGATAAAAATGTCATTTCGCATCATTTTTATTTTAGCTATGATTTATTTAATCAAAACAAATATCATCATCTCTCTCACACCCCACGCACACACACAAACATACACACATGTTTTCCTTTTTTCTTTCAACTCTTTAAATCTGTCTACGCTTCTAGACTTAACCTTAAAGGAGTATATTTTTTTAATTATTTTTATCAAATGGAATTACATAATTTCCTTTTGCAAAGCTATCATTTTATTGTATATATTATATGCAAATTCAAGCAATAAAATATATTATATGCAAATTCAAGGAAAAAAAACATAGGTTTTAATGGATAAGATATTAACAAATGAATCTCTAATTTAATTGAAGTTTTATCAATTACATTATCAACAATAATAAGTTGTAAAAAAAATAAACAATAACATGGTATTTTTGTTATATCACATAACTTACTTTTCGATTACTTTAACAAATACGCAAACCACATTTCGTTTCATATCAAACTAAAGGGTCGTTTGATAGTTGTTAACTATGTTAAAACTGACTGGGTTAGAAGCTGATTGGGTTAGAATAAATTTTTTACCGAAACTTGTTGTTTGATGTTGCATCTGATTGACCATATAAAAAGACTATATTACCCTTAAAAATTATTTTTTTATAATAATTCATTGGGTTCTGAAACCATTTAAAACCATATAATAGACCAATACTTGGTTCTGAAACCATTTTTAAGATAAAGATTTATACTTTTTAAGACCACTTACAATTTGTTGGCCTCTTCTAAAACATATTTACTTTGTCACATCATTAAAAGCTATCTTTATAAACATCCTCCAATACACAAACCTTTATTTTTATATCCGGTGATTGAATATTTATATTTATCTATTTAAAATGTTTTTTGGATGAAAACAAAATTACAAGTTTATCCCCACAATAGAAGCTTCTTTGTTGCGCATAACGAGAGAGGGAAAAAAAACACCCAATAAAGACATGACCAAAGAGGTTGTTAATATAGAAAAATATCCAAAATCTTGAAGATCTAATAGCACCCACAAGTTTTTATGCTTTTTAGTAGTCACCCCACTTCCATTACAAAATCATTTCTCGTTTTGAAAACGAGTGTTAATTATTTCTTTTCGAGGCTCATTTCTTGAAGATTTAGCAAAAGATTATCAGCGTTTAAAAGGACTTTGTTGGATGAATTAGCCATTGTTGTTGCTATTTCTCTAGCAGCTTCGATTTTTCTGAGTGTTATAAATGCTGGATTGTTGGCAATCGCTTGACCAATCAGTTGGGCACTTTTTGCTTCTCCCTATTAATATTACATAAATGCAACAAAGTAAACCCATGTGTTAGGTTAGGTGTACTTTTTTTTAATTAATAAATATATAGACATTTGACTTTTTTTCATGGAAGCATCGAACCTGAGTAAATCCGAAGTGTACAAATTAAGTCCTAACTATTTACTAGAAATTTGCGTATGTGACTGATTTTCCTATATATTTTTAAACTATTATTTGTCCATACAACATTTTATCCAGACAATGTAAATGAATTTAAAAAAAAAAAAAGGAAAATATATCCTTAGTTGAGCAGATAAGCTAAATGTCAATGCCAAGATCCCACGTTGGACTTTTGAAAGTCAACCTTCACTTTTTAGTTTCCGTTTCAGATCGAAAGATTCTTCTTAGTGCTCATCTCCAATTTCCTTCTAGATGTTTAAATATAGGTGCGAAATACAAGAAAAAAACCTATTTTCACCATTTTATCGAGTTTTGATACTCTTAAAAAATACAAAAACGCATAATATACGTTTCATCATTTTAATTTTTGCGATATTTCATCATTTTATTTAATCACCTAACTATTTATTATAATAATCATTACATAAATAGAGATTTGACTTTTCTATAACCAATAGAAAATGCTTTTCAAACTTGAAGTCAAAAAAACAACTCATTTGAGATTTCAAAGGTCAACTAACATTAACATACATGTTAGCTGCATGAGTTAATGCTTGTAATAAATTAGGTTTTATTCAATGATATAATAAAATACAGTCAATCGACTTGTTTGCAATTAAAAATAAGTGGAATACATAAAGTAAATGGTATTCTGAATTGATCACCTTTTTATCGATTTAGCCAATTAACAATTTTCTGTATTGATCAAACCAATTAACCTTTTTTTTTGTGTTCTTGAATGGTATTTTTTTTGTTTTATTTTAGAATTGTGATTAATAATATAATAATTAATAATATAATAGTAAATGGAGTGTTTATTATTTATTACCTGAGCTCTGATGATTGCACTTCTCTTATCTTGCTCAGCCTTTTCCACCACAAACTTAGCCCTCTCAGCCTCCTGTGCAGCCACTTGTTTTGCTTCAATTGCAGCTGTAAACTCTCTCCCAAAAGTAAGACTTGTTATTGACACGTCATCAAGTGCAATGTTGAAATTGGCTGCTCTTTCTGTTAGTATTTTCCGTATTTCCCTACTAACAGCCTATACCACAACAACAAACAACATTTTTTATTTGTTTTTATCTATATATAGGATTAAATAAAGGGAAAATAGCACAAAAGTCACTTAGTTTACACCAAAATTCAAATTTGACACTGCGTTTTTTTGTCTCAAAATTGACACTGTGTTTTCCAATTTGTTACAATTTTGACCACTTGACTGGTCAAACCGGTTTCCTTCTAACGTGGCATGCTGGCGTGTCAAATTTGAAAATTTTCATAAAAGACATCAAGTTTTGACTTTTTTCAATTTTGACACTGAGTTTTATTTTTATTTTTTTTTTCAAATTTGACATTATATTTTTTTGTTACAAATCGAACATCATTGTTTCCAATTTTGTTCAATGTTGACCATTTTCCATTTGAAACCGTATAATTTTTTTTTTTTTACATTTGAAACCGTATAAATACATTTTTTTCATTTAAAAACAACATTTTTGTATAAATACAAGGTTTTTTTTCGTTCAAAGCATAATGTTATGTATAAATATGTATTAGTTATATTATAACCATATTTTACGAAAATTGAAAAAGATGAAAACTTAGTGTCATAATTGCAAAAAAAAAAAAAATTAAAACTTAGTGTCAAAATAGTGTCTTTTGTAACATTTTTTTCAATTTTGACACGTCAGCATGTCATGCGAGCATGTCACGTCATCAAAACTGACACATCATCATGTCACGTCAGCAGACAACCAGGTTGACCGGTCAAGTGGTCAGAATTGTAACAAATTGAAAAACAAAGTATCGAATTTGAGACAAAAAAAAATGTCAAATTAGAATTTTGATGTAAACTTAATGACTTTTGTGCTATTTTCCATTAAATAAATGGCCTAAAATAAGTTGGAAATAATATTAATAGTTAATACCTCTCTGTGGGTGATGAGCTGGCTAGCATTATATTGAGCCACAACAGCTTTCAAAGTTTCATGAATGATTGAAGGGAGGACTCTCTCATTGTAATTCTCACCAAGACTTCGATACACAGAAGGTAATTCATCAGCAACAGGTCTTGTAAGAACCCTAAGCCCTATTTTCACCTTTAAAAAACCAACATATGTCATCCAAACTAAATCCATAATATTTTTAAAAAAAATTAAAGAGAGAGAAAGAGAGATACCATTTGAAGATCACGGCTACCAGAAGTGCTTTCTACAAGATGAGGTCATGCACGAACATCATATATGACTGGCCTTTCAAACCAAGGGATCATGATGTGGGTCCCTTCTGGGTAAACCTATTTATCAAACATGTAACTAATTTTAGCCATTTAGTAGCAATTGAAATTATTAAGATATGAAGCCACAAATTTTCATATATTGGCATATGCAATGATAGGATAAGGATTACAAGGTGGTAATTAGTGGCTAAAAGATACACATACAAGAAGCAAAATAACTTTGTTAAGGAGATAAAAACATAAACAAGCAGAATAAGAGAATTATGTGGAAAAAAAAACCTTGTCTTTGACACCAACAATACGGTTGAAGACAATTGCACGATGCCCTCCTTCAACATTATACAAACTGTTCCCAGCTGCATACAATCCAATACCAATAACAGCTCCAAACTTTAGCAATGCAGAACCTGCACCACCATTAGGCATCTTGGGTAACTTCATATTGTTGAGATTCATTTTCCCTGCTGCCATTAAAGTCCAAGATACAACAACACATCAGTCCACTAACAAAAGTATATTGGTAACTACATAACACATGATCTCAAATGCTATAAACTGAAAGGTGCTGGTGTTTAATTCGCCAAATAATACATGTGGTTAATCTGAAATGCAATAGGTTTAACCTCTAAAACTAACCAGGCAGTTTGCAATAAGCTGAACAATACAACAAGTTATGAGATTACATGTGCTCCAGTAATTTTTGCACTTAGAAGGACGATTTACAGGTCTCGGGCGCATCAAAAACTTGCTTGAATCACCAACAATGCAAATACTAATATATAATGTGTGTTCAGAGTTTAAACTGATCACGAACTCATAAGCTAAAATCACGAGTTGAAAAACTTGATAGAAAAATGTAATCAACAATTCCTGAAATAGAATCAACTGATCTCAAACTTTGAGAGCAACCGACACATAGATACATTATAAATTTTGAACAGGTATGTGCTGAAAGGGTTTTAGGCTTTCAAAATCAAACAAATATATACAGAAACTGGAACATATTGTACCTTTATTAGAGATTCAAGGTGTGTCAAAACGGGAACTCCCAGTGGTATGGTGGCGAATGAGCGGTGGTTGAGGAGGAAGGGATGAATTTAGTGGAGGGGGTTAACGGGTGTCGAGGGTTTTGGCGGTGATGTCAGTCGTGGTAAAGTGCCCTCCAAGTTTTGTCCGACCTGAGTGATTTTTTTATTTTTTATTTTTCATTTTCACACCAAACTTTTGGAGTTTATAATCTCTTCAAAATTGATTTTTGGGAAAATGACTTATTAGGGTAACAAACTATTGCGTTTGTTTTCATTTGGTCACTTTTTTTATTTTTGTACTATATTTACCATTCAACTTGTTTGTGATGTTCACAAAAACCATTATAACCGGCTATTGTAGGTTTAGCCGGTCAAGTTGAATTTTCCGACCAATATATGAATTTTCCGGTGGCTGTATGAACTTTCCGGCGAAAATATGAATTTTCCGGCGACTGTATGATTTTTCTGGCGAAAATTGAAGTTTTTTGAAGAACTTGAACTCAAAGCTGATGAAGGTTCATCCATGGAAGAAACGGGGCTGGTTTCAATTTTGATTTTGTAGGTCTGGAAAATAAAGAAGAAAATGGAGAACTCATTTCAAGGATTCTGCCATGGATGTAAAAACACAAGCATGTGTGTTTGTGTCGGATCTGATAACCCAGATCTATTCTAATGTTCATCATCTTCCTAATCACCCATACCTCCATCGTCACTTTCTCAGTCCACAAGACATCAAAACAAGAACCATCGGTTGTGTTCCACTTTTAAACGAGCCAAACACCACCTCCTTTTAACCTGTGTCACACTCAACTCATTTTTCAAACCACCATCACCGAACCTCCACCTGTCAAATACCTCGAACCACCACCCGATACAAACATAAACCCCCTTTCCAGTCGAGCAATAACCAACATAAATCGTTTGTTTATGAAATCCTTGACATTGTGCAAATCGATTTGTGTGTGCAAGTCTAAGAGAAAATCCTTTGAACTAGATGTAAGTGTGTGTTTTCTTGAAATCATTTTTTTTATCTGAAATCGTTGGGATCTTTGAAGATTTGTGTGCAAACCAAAGTGTTTCTGAACAGGTGAATATGAA